ACTATAGAATATTCTATAGTCCAGACTATAGACTATTCTACAGTCCAGACTATATACTATTCTATAGTCCAGACTATAAACTATTCTATAGTCAAGAATGCACTATTCTATAGTGCAGACTATAGACTATTCTATAGTCGAGACTGTTCTCTAGTCTAGATTATAGACTATGTATAGACTATACTATAGTCCAGACTATAGACTATACAATAGTTCAGCCTATAGACTATTCTATAGTCCAGACTATAGACTATTCTATAGTTCAGACTATAGTCTATTCTATAGTCCACAATATAGACTCTTCTAGTCTATTCTATAGTCCAGATGGGCTATAGAATAGTCTACATATAGTCAAGTTCTATAGTACAGTTCTATAGTCCAGATTATAAACTATATCTAGACTATTCCGTAGTGCAGTCTATAGACTACTCCATAGTCTAGACTATAGACTATTCTGTAGTCCATAGAATACAGACTATTCTATAATCTAGATTGTAGACTATATATAGACTATTCTATAGTCCAGATTATACACTATATATAGACCATTCTATAGTCCAGAAAATAGACTACTTCATAGTCTAGACTACAGACTATTCTAAAGTCCAGACTATAGACTATTCTATAGTCCAGACTACTCCATAGTCTAGACTACAGACTATTCTATAGTCCACTATAGACTATTCCATAGACCAGACTATAGACTATTTTATAGACCAGACTATAGACTATTCTATATTCCAGATTGTAGGCTATTCCAGATTATGGTTATAGACTGTACTATATTCTAGATTATAGACTAATCTATAGTCCAGAATATGGACTGTAGACTTGCTAATAGTTTTGTGTAAGGACTTTTCTATCGTCCAATTGTTGAATTATTGATATTTCTATAGTTCGGATTATGGAGTATTCTATGGCCCAGTCTACAGTACTACAGTCTAGACGGAAGGACTATTCTATTCTATAGATCAGACTATATTCTATTTTATAGTCCAGGCTATGATCTATTCTATAGCCCAGACTGTAAACTGTCTTATAGTTCTGACTATAAAACACGGATTAGTCCACAGAATAGGACTAATCCGTGTTTTATTTTATTCAAAAAAAGTTAATACTATAACTCAGGGAGTTTAGACTTAATAACGTGGTATAAATCGTTATAATTCAACAATCTGAGTTCTTATGTAGTTAATCTAACAGCTTTTAAACAGAAAATGAAACCAATTTGTATTTAATTTTAAACAAAATGTCTCAATATTAAGCTGTCTAGGATTTTTTTCTATTTTAAATAAACAACTACTAAAGAATCCATTGAGAAACGAACCTAGAGCATTAGAAAAATGTTAGAGAAAATACCCAAGCGCTTAGACCGCTCAGCCATTAAATGACTAATATTTTCTATGACAAAAAATACAATAGAAAACCTAGAGAGAAGTAGGGAGAGTGATCGTTAGAAAAAAATACACACAAAAAATGTTTAGAACTAAAAATAAATATTGATGTAATAGAATACATACGATTACAAAATGAAATGTGTACCGAGCAGAGGTAGTTAACATTTATGTTTACAATTACTTACATTATTTCATTCATAAATTTTTTGGTTTTGAAAAGTTATTAGAAAATTGTTGAAAATTTTAGATGGAGAGTTGTTTTCTTTTAATTTATTAATAGCTATTTTATTGCTGTTTAATATAGATTATTTTAAAAAATTAAAAACAAAACGTAGAAAATTTTACAAGTTCAATGAACTGAAAAAGTACATGTTTGTTTAAGGAATATATGTCAAGAGTTTCAAGAAAAACAGCTGATTCTCTTGAGATTAATAAAGATTGCGAGAGATAAAAAATACAGTAAACCCCTTTTATAATAGGTTTATTAAAAATTTTACTTAGGAAGTTCACGCAATAGGTAGTCCAAGTACAACTCAATTCTGGAATAGGAAATCTTTTACAATAGCTTTCTAAAGCTATAGCTAGCTTATGGTACAGATTTTTAACCATGCTCTATAAGGAACCACTGTATATCTTCTACATCTTTTATATATAAACTATATTTTATAAAAAGACTACACATGCAAACAATGTTTCATTGTGGTTCCACACAAAATATCGAAACCAAATCGCGATAGGGAAAACTGAGAATATTTAATGAATTCGGTTAGATTACTTAGACCACATAAATTTGTATTTATTTTTAACTATTAACTAACATTAGTAACTAAACTAAATTTGCTAACTTTTTAATTAATACTCTTGATAATTTGATAACTTGATTATTTATAGTTTTTCTCCTTGCGAACACAATAATATAATCAATTGATTAAACTCACAATTTTAGACTTGTTTAATTTGTGACAAACTGTCGGCAACTGATTGTGTCACCCCTACATTTCGTCTTGATAAGAATAATGGTGAGGGAGCATTTAGTGATCGTGCCGACAGATATTTTGAGTGCAAAATTATTTTAAACAAACTTATTTATACAGATCTAAATGAATTTCATTTTCTCAATTAACAGGAGAAACATTTTTGCTTATGTAGGTTAGTCCGACGCGTAGATAATAGTGTTTTTCCATTACTAATGGCTCCGATCATTAGACCCAAAATATAGAAGAGTAAAATTTTTGTACTTTTTATAGAAAATTCTCGATAACTTGTCTTGTTTATAGACTATGGACTATATTATAGTCCAGACTATGAAATATATTATAGTCCAGGCAATGGACTATATTATATTCCAGACTATGGACTATATTAAAGTCCAGACTATGGACTATATTATAGTCCAGATAGTCCAGACTATGGACTATATTATAATACAGACTATAGACTATTATAGTTCAGACTATGGACTATTATAGTCCACACTACGGACTATATTAAAGTCAAGACTATGAACTACATTATAGTTCATACTATGGATTATATTATATTTCAGACTACGGACTATATTACAGTACAGACTATGGACTATATTATAGTCCACGCTATAGACTATATTAGAATGCAGACTATGGACAATATTATATACTATATTATGGTCCAGACTGTGGGCTATAATATAGTCCAGGCTATGAACTATATTATAATCCAGACTATAATAGTTCAGACTATGGACTATATTATAGCCCATATTACAGTCTAGACTATGGACTATATTATAGTCCAGACTATGGACTATATTATAGTCTAAACTATGGACTATATTTAGTCCAAACTAAAGACTATATTATGGTCCAGACTTTAGACTATATTATATTCCAGACTGTGGACTATATTATAGTCCAGGATATGGCTTATATTATAATCCAGACTATAGACTATTATAGTTCAGACTATGGACTGTTAGAGTCTACACTGTGGACTATATTATAGCCCAGATTATGGACTATATTACAGTCTAGACTATGGACTATAGTATAGTCCTGACTATGGACTATATTATAGTCCAGACTAAACTATGGACTATATTTAGTCCAAACTAAAGACTATATTATGGTCAGACTTTAGACTATAATATATTCCAGACTGTGGACTATATTATAGTCCAGGATATGGCTTATATTATAATCCAGACTATAGACTATTATAGTTCAGACTATGGACTATTATAGTCTACACTGTGGACTATATTATAGCCCAAACTATCTACTATATTACAGTCTAGACTATGGACTATGTTAAAGTCCAGACTATGGACTACATTACAGTCTAGACTATGGACTATATTATAGTCCAGACTATGGACTATTATATTTCACACTAAGGACTATATTAAAGTCCAGACTTTCGACTATATGACTGAACAGTTCTTCGTGGATGTCACCGGAGGAGTCATCCCAACCTTAACATTACACAGTTAGAAGCTCCCCAGAAGCAAGTCAGGAAGGACATTCGTATATACGAAGAGAGCATACGAAGATATGTGCAAGATACCTTGGATCAAAATTCGTACACAAAAGTTTTGAATGATATTCATAGTGACGCCATCAATACCGCGATTTCAAATTACCGTATAGAGGCCGCCCACCGCCTATAGCTGAAATTGAGAAGAACCTGCCGCGGAAAATAAGAGTAGCACTGGCATAACAAGGATCGGGATGGGGCAACAGGCTCAACGTCTACTGGTGTTAGTTAGGATTTATGGACTAACCCTGTAGATGAAACCCAATTTATTGGCTTGGACCTAAATACACTGCCCCCCCGGCTTAAAAATTGTACCTATCGTTTAAGCTTTTACAACAACAATAGTACAGACTATGTACTATTTTTTTATTTTTTCGAAGATTTTACTTTTTATAATACAGTTTCGAAGATTTTGGTTTTTTGTCTTTTTTTACAGAAAAATTTTGAATTTTTATCGAATTTTTTTCTTTTTTAAAGAATTTTTTTTTTTTAATTTTCTTTTTTATTTTTTTGAAGAAATTTATGGGATTATTTTATTTTTTAATACCTATTACTAGAAAAAACGATCAACAACAATAATAATATACACACTTTGAATCTGTAGTATTGCAAACCACTTTAGTGAAAAAAAAATATTGTTTTTCAAAATTTTCACACCCCCAAAACCTTATATTCCTTATTCAAAACTACCTCAATATAAAATCTATAATTTTCTTAACTCCTGATTTCAGATTTCAAAACTACCACAATATCATAACAATTTGTGCAATACAGTTAATATTGTTTTGATTATAAAAATAGAAACAACATGTTACTGCAATTGTTGTCATTGTAGTTATATTAGACGTCATAACGAAGTTACAAAACAAAAGAGAAATGCAACAAACGAAAAATACGCACACAAACACGAAGTGTAGAGAAGAAGTGTGCATTATGAAATAGAAATATGCAGTTAATAGAAAGAGGAAAAACCTAGACTAATAAGAAAATTTTAATAAAAAGGAAAAGCATGGTACATATTAACAAAAAAAATGTGGTCTATGAGAAAAACTGAATGTTTCTTTATTAAAATATAATAAATTAACTCACCACTTATCAGCTAAATAAAATTACTTCATAAAATTTAATAATATGTATTTTTATATTGTTTTCTTTTCGCACTGTTTAATTTGTTATTTAATAACACAATTTATTTAACACTATTTACTAAACTAAAGCAATGCACTGCTCTCTAAACTAATATCATTTATTTAAAATAAAACGTAATTAAGCACTAGTAGTAAATAATTTTTGTTGATTTTTTGTGCAGTTTACTTTTTGTTTATTGAAATTTATTGATTTTATAAAAAATATATTATTTTTTAATTTGTGCTCAGAAGAATATTTTTAGTATTCATTTTTTACATGGGAATATTTTATTATTTATACAAAATAGCGTATTTACTTTTATAATTATTTTTCTTTTTTGTAAAACCGTTTGTTCTTCCGTTTACCAAAACATACGCCAAGTAACAACAAACACGAACTAAATAGAAAAACAACAAAATGGTTATTTTGATACAAACCAGAGAGGGAAAGGAGCGCGGAGAAAGGAGGGGAGTAAAGGGACGGGGGGCAGCAGGAACGAAGTAGGAAAAAGGGGGGGGGGGGGGGACGCGACGACGCAACGAACGAAACGGAACGACTAACGAACTAACCGAACAGAACGAACGAACGAACGAACGAACGAACGAACGAAACGAACGAACGAACGAACAAACGAACAACGAACGAACGAACGAACGAAACGAAAACGAAACGAACGAACGAACGAACGAACGAACGAACGAACGAACGAACGAACGAACGAACGAAGAACGAACGAACGAAGAACGAACGAACGAACGAACGAACGAACGAACAACGAAAACGAACGAACGAAAACGAACGAACGAACGAACGAACTAACGAACGAACGAACGAAAACGAACGAACGAACGACGAACGAACGAACGAACGAACGAACGAACGAACGAACGAACGAACGAACGAACGAAACGAACGAACGAACGAACGAACGAACGAACGAACGAACGAACGAACGAAACGAACGAACGAAAGAACGAACGAACGAACGAACGAACAACGAACGAACGAACTAAACGAACGAACGAACGAAACGAACGAACGAACGAACGAACGAACGAACGAACGAACGAACGAACGAACGACGGACGAACGAACGAACGAACGACGAACGAAACAACGAACGAACGAACGAACGAACGAACGAACGAACGAACGAACGAACAACGAACGAACGAAAGAACGAAGAACGAACGAACGAACGAACGAACGAACGAACGAACGAACGACGAACTAACGAACTAACGAACGAACGAACGAAACGAACGCGAACTAACTAACTAACGAACTAACTAACGAACTAACTAACGAACTAAGAACTAACGCAAAACTAACTAACTAAAACTAACTAACTAACTAACTAACTAACGAACTAACTAACTAACTAACTAACTAACTAACTGACTGACTGACTAAGCATTTCTGAACATTTGACATTTGACAGTCGTTATATATGTATATATATCTCGTAAAAAAAGAAGAAGATATATTGGAAATAAAAATTTTTAATGTCAAAAATCTTAATCTAGACGCTTAGATTTCAAATCTATAGATTTCGGTTTTTAGATGTTTGTTTCGGTGTAGTGTAAAACGACATGGCCACACATCAAATTTGTTGACTCAAACGGTAAGTTTTATAATTGTGTTAGTGAAAAAAGAGTTTTTTTACTAAAACAATCAAAAAACTTACTGTTTGAGTCAACCAATTTGATGTGTCGCCAAGGTGCTTAAAAGAAGTATGTGTAATAAACGAAATTATTTTGGTACTTTTAAATACCAAATCGTAACCAAAAAGTATTGCATTTAATAATTTTTCCATCCCTGACAAACAAATAAAAACCAAAGAAAGTGAGGGATAAAAAAAAACAAAAATAATGACAAAAATAAACGAACTGTTGCATAAAATAGTATTAAATAGTTGTACATAAATTTGGTACTAAATACGTTGTTTTCCCCAAAAAATAAATGAAAGGAAATAGGGTATCAGAGTTCCCTAAAAAAACGATATTACAAATATTAAATAGAAAAATTAGTTCCTTTGTCACCACTGCGTAGCTGAACAAAACACAGTGGTCATTTCTGATTGATATTCCGTTATATTGTGCTTCAATGTCTTGCCAATTTCATATCATTTCAATAATAACCATTGGGAAACTGATTTTTTTATTTTATATTTTCAAACTGGGAAGAATTTTGATATTCCTAATCAGCTTGAAATTATAAATAATATCTTATTTTATTTTTAATCTAAATGTAGCCTGTTTAAGTTGTCAATTAGATACTTCTAAGCCATCTTTATTTTGAGACTAGCAGATCAGAAAAACCTACCTGATTGATTCTCATTTTGCTGTTTTCCCTCGGATGTTGTAATTCGATATATGAATGAAATGAATAACAAAGTTATTTTTTTATTTTTTGTACAAAATGTGTTTCTTTCATAGAACATCTTTTTTATTGTTTTATTTTTTTGTTATTACAAATGAAATATCAGATGCTGCTATTTTTTGGCTCTCTATTGTTTTACATAGCCAAAAAGAAAACAAATTGAGTTCTTATACTGAATTTAACAATTTAAATTGTTATATACATTTTGAAATAAATGTATGTTTTTTATAACATAAAAAATTCTTATTTCTATTCATAATTTCTATTCATAAATGTATTTCTCAATATTTTTTAATGTCCCTTCTAAGGTTTAAACAGCAACTCCAAAATTTGATAACTAACTTCATGTCGTTTCTGATAGACTTTGGTGTGTTTTTGCCAATCGCTTTTAACTTGTTTCCATTTGCCCAAGTGCTGTGCTAGCAGTTCCTCCTTTGAGCCATCTTTCAATTCATTATTGTCAGCAACTAGTTCTTCTGATTTACTATATTTTTTGGGTTCCACTGTGGGTGTTGGTATCTTGGGGACATCAGTCTTTTTGGGTTTTGGCATACTGCAAACATCACGCATATCTCCCTTGCGTAATTTCGCCAATAATTCTAAACCATTGTCTTTGCGTTCTGTGGGAGATGGTGATCTAGCGTCACGATAACTGCGTATACTGGGATTACGTGGTTGATTTGCCATCCACGCCCGACAAATGGGATAGAGTGAAGTTTGTTCGGAATATTTGGATAAATCTAAACTACGATCGAATAGTTTCATAACAAAACTTTCAGCCTGTATTTTTTGTCCGCCTGAACCACCAGCCTGATGATGTTCTCTCTTTCGCCTTTTACTAGGTGTTAGAAAACCAGCTGAAGGTGACAGCCTATCGGCTGAGCTCTGTATTTTCTTTGGTCTACCACGTTGACGATGTGGTATGATTTGTTGCTGTTCCTCTTCTTCTTCCTCCTCCTCATAGTCTTCGGGTATATCGTCCACCTCCTGATTTTGCAAGGAGTCATTTAAAGCTCCACGCAATCTGCCTCTGGCGGCCTGTACTTCATTGTTGTCTCTTTTATGTGGTGAGGTTTTCATGTTGTTTTTGTTTTGTATTTAGGATAATAAAATGTTGTAGAATTTTAATATATTAATAAAGTGTGATTTATTTTACTTTTTATTTGAATTTAAAACAACAGAAAATTATTTTTTTTTTATATTATTTTATCGTTTTAAAATTGTTTTAATATGTAGAATGAAAACTGAAGCAAATGTCAAAAATTGTGTATGAAGTTGGCTGCAGTTTAAATATAACAGGGTGTCTACAATAGTATTTATTATTGTTCAAGGGTTTCTGGTAGTTAAGTAAATTTACGTTATATTTAAATTTAAAAAAGATATTAATATATATTTTTAATTTCTATTATAAAAAGTATAGTCGATTAATCCCATCTATATTAGACCCTGTCAGATATAACACACAACCTAAAATAAATATAATTTCCGTAAATAATCGTTTTAATGGGGCCTATGCCAAATGTTTGACCGACAGGCATCCCATGGATTTCATTTAAATTTTATATACTTCCGATAGTGGGACGACGATGTTGCAGATTGAGTTAGTGTCAGTGGGTAGAAGGGGGAGCTGGAGAAACTGCGCCACCTCAGTGGCGGAGCAAATTTGTTGACCTAAATAAATGCATGGCAACAAGGGGGTAACAAGCATGGGAAAACAATATAAAATGCCAGGAACGTTTCATTCATGATAGCAGTTGAGGAAACTGGCTCTTAATTGTGCTAAGATGCCTGGGTAGTTGTCTTCAGAATCCTAGATCGCAGGGGGTGTTCATTTAGGACTCTGTTGCATCTGTAGCCGTTAATGATTTCAGTGGCCGCCATTTGATGCAACATTTCCCTTGCGCTTGCAATTGATAGTCTGTCGACGTCCGATGGTATGACGACTTGGATGTTCCTGCGAAAGCGTCCATCCGGATGTGCCTGAGAGGTGGATTATCTATCAAAATGTAATGGTTGAGGTGACTATGCAGATAGCATGCCAATAGGAACTGTCTAGTCAACAACACGTGTTGCATGACTAACAGTAACTTGTTGTACTCATGTAAATGATCCACATTCGTCATCTTGACGGAGTCCATTATTCTGGTCCGTTTGTAAACCTCGCTATTGGGTATCATTGAGGAAAGGTGTACATACTGGCGCAGCATAATTGAGAAGAGAGCGACCAATTGCCTTATATGTCGCTGCAATCGTGTCCTTATACATACACCGAGAGGTGGCAGCTAGAGCTTTAAGGACCTTATTTCAATTTCGAACGCAAATAACATTACGAGTCCTTTGTAGTGAAGGAGGCTATCAAATACTACCCCTAATAGTTCCGGGTTTTAAACCGTGGGGATAATTTGTTCTTCGACCGAGACGTTAAGCGCCATCCTTACATCTTTGTTCCAAGTGGTGAAAAATGATACCAAGTATTTCGAAGCAGATATGAGTTTGCTAAAAGTCTGTGATGTATTGAGTTATATATATATATAATAAGATGGTACGGGGTTTTCTGGTTAAGTACGAGAATAATTCGAACCGTTTTCCAGATATCGGAAAACACGAATTTTTGAATTGAAAGTTTCTTTAACATTAATATAGAAATAACATCCGGACCTAGTGCTTTTCGTTTTAGTGATAATGTTATCGAACTTACAAGAGGTAAAGGAGTATCGCTGAAGATCTCGGGAAGATTCATAGTTCTTTGAACTATAGTTGTTTTAGGATGTCTCGTTTTATGTCGACTAGAGCAAGGAAATAACTAAAATTCCATGAACAGATTTTATATTTAAGCAGCTTACAATATGATTACATTACCCAAAAAAAAACTTACATTCTCATACAAATAATTAATTTATTAATTTTTATATATTAGCGTGCTACATGGCAGCTTTTACTTTATTTATAGAGTTTGTTTTTTTACTTCTTAATATCGCATTTTGAATTTTTGTTTATTAGGTAAGAGCAGTGTAGACAGCTTGTTTAATTTTAACAAATACTTTGTATTTTGTTAACTAAAAATTTTCTTTTAATAGAAATTAAACACAATGGCTTAAAAATAAGAAATTAAATCGAAAATGAAAGAAAAAAAACTATTCTTTAACTTACAAAGAAAGAAAATATTAGTAATTAGAAAAAAAAGAAAACCATGCAAGAAGCTTAGAGAGTGCTGCATCATCATACAATTATAATAAAATTAATATTTAAGCATCATTTTAGTTAAATCTTGTACGGTTGAAATTTCTCCAACAGAAATTTAAGGAGATCATCTTAAATAAATCATTAAACACACATACACATATTTCACAGAAAGAATTCACATTTCACTCCAGCAGTTATCAACTCAGACGTTTCAAACTTCAATCTAAACTATATCTCTAGGAGCACTTAAGAAATGTATGGTATTCGAAACTTGATGGGTAATTTCACTTAAAGTTTCTTTGTGAACACCACCAAACAATATTAGTTCACCGTGGCCGGGAACCATGGTAGAGAGAATAAGTCTTTCGGGAGCTCCGGGTATGACACCATAATTCTTATATTCCAACCACTCCAAATAGGGATCCAATTCCGATAGAGCATGCGACAGATCACATACAAACAGTGAGAGTACATTACGTTTAATGCGTTTGGGTGAAGGTTCCTTAATGGATTTCTGCTCAGCCATGGCATTGCGTCGCGAGTTACGCAAAGCATTCATTTTCTCCTCCATGCGGCGTATGCGTTCATTGTGATCTTTCGATAAGGATCTTGGACGGTTTTGTACATTGAAGGCTGCCATACGAAATGGATCTTCGTATAGCTCATCAAATCTTTTAGGCAGTAAAGGTTCATTTTCGCGACATCTTAAAGCGAGATTACGCTGCAGTCGATTAGCCGCTTCTTGATCCAGACCACCACCTACGCCAGCACCGCCATTACGACCAACAGCTAAAACATCGTTGTCATTACGCGTAGAGGCGGAGCCATTCAGACGTGGTGACGTGGCCAGACCCGAAGTGGAAGGACGATTGTGATTTCTTTCTTCCGGCGAAGTGTGTAGCTCTCTAATGCTGCCACTACGTGGTTGAAAATTGCTATTTTGATTGTGATTGTTAATGAAATTATTATTGCTTGCATTTTGTTGATGCTGATTTAAAATTGCTCTACGCTGAGCAAAGTACTGATCATCCGGTCCTTCACGTGGTATATTACCAGCACCATTTAAGCGATTATTTTGTAAACGATTGTGATTATGGGCGGGTATTCGTATCACCGGATTAGCATTGCCGCCCCCACCTACTGGTCTATTAAGCGGATTATTGTGCTGATTTTGACCACGGGCCGCTAAACGTGGCGCTGGAAGACCGCCACCTACAGGAACTCTAGTTTGTTTCATCAATTGAAAATCTTGAGGCATATTTGGAGTAGGTCCTAAAACTACCAATTTCGAGTCTATTTTACAGGCAGGATTACACCACATATGAGAAGCGGAAAACTTTTTATTACGCACTGGTATCGATTTCCACATCCATAAATCTCTCGTCATATCCAGCAGCCAAGCATCTGAATATACACTATTAGGACCACCACAACCACCCACTATAAGTAAATGTTTCTCGTCTAAAACCAATTGAAATTGACCATAACGTGCTGGTGGCTTAATACTACCCAAAAACAAGGGCTGCCACCAGCGATGCTCCTTCAAATCTAAACACCAAGTTTCATTAGAATTCGAATTGACACCATCCGATATTTGATAGCCACCAAATATCACCATAATATCACCATGAACACTGGCAGAATGTCCAGCAATGGGTGGTGGTCTTGACATGGTCATTACCACAGACCAACGATTTGTCGCCAAGTCATAGTAGTGTAATTCATCGAACAAACACCAAGGCTGGTAGGGAGGATGCAAAGAGGGATAACGCCAACCACCAAACAGTACTAGTTGTTCTTTCCACGCCACCATTGAGGCACTGCCTTTGGGCGATGGATACGAACCCATGGACAAGGGACGTTCCCAACGCATTTCCGATAAATCGAAACGCCAAAGATCGTTAAATGTTGTATCGGATGAAGAACCGCCACCAAAAATGTACATCGAATTACCATGACGTACAGCGGAATGCGAAAAACGTCCAGCTATTATAGGTGTTGTGGGACTATTGCAAATGCTGCCATTATTGGCCTCGATAGAGGTAGCCGTTTGTTGGGAGAATACCTGCCAACACAAACGAAAATCTTGTAAGCCTTTGTGCAGATTAATACGCGAACGCCGTATAAGATCTATAATTGGAGAAGGAGAAGTTGGTGAAAATGAGATATCAATGAAAATATTACTTTCACAGAAGTGAAATTATTGCTTTAAATTTGAAAGAAAATCCTTTCCAATAGTATAAATATGTTTTTTTTTTTTAATAGGCACAGTTCATTGACCACATAAAATGCATTGGAATGTATTGTCAAACGAAAACAGAAAAATAAAAATATGTATTTGTGAGATAAATAAAATTGTATTCCATAAACAAGCTAATAAAAAATTTATACATATTCTTTTACCCAAACCAGTGTCTATTCGTATATATTTATGGGTTATTAAAATCTTGGAGATATTTTAAGAAAAAACAACAACAAAAACAAATAGCATCAACAAAGTTCATTGTAAATTTTATATTGACTAAAGTAGACTCCTTAGAAATTATTATAATGTAACACATTTTATCATTTATATCACCCTTTGTTCACTAAGACATATTCGAATAGCATGAACTCAACAATTTGTGTGTTTCCAAGTGTAGTATCTTCTGATTGACTATAGGTTTAGATACTATCGAATATACAGAAGAGACATGTCATATTTCTTCACTAGGGCATATTCGAATAGCATGAAATGAACACTTTTTGTGTTTCCAAGAGTAGTACCTTCTGATTGATTATAAGTTTAAGTTCTATCGAATGTACAGAATGAACACTTGAATCTTCAACCTTAAAAGCCAACTGTATACTTTTTATCCATATAATCCATATAAAACGACTTACTTATTCATTTGTTTAATCAAAATAATCTACTTACTTTTCACAATATCCTGCCATCGTTTACATACTAAACTACAATTTTCCAAATCCTTATAGGGCGGTAAATAGGTTAAAATAAATTCCAACATTTCATCCGGCAACATATTTATATGATACAACAATTTGCCATTGCTTTCGTCTGGACTCTCAGAACCAGCATTACTAGATTCATTATTCATTTGCTCCACCACTACGTGGGCAGTGGCATCTTCAGCATCTGTCCCAACGGCTGAGTTACCATCAACATTAGTGCTGTGATGCTGCTGCTGTTGCAACGACAATAAGGCTTCTGCATTGACCTTGTCATTAGTTGTAGTTGTGCTGGCATTATGACATTGATCCTTAACCTTCATTGTATCATCCATTCTATGTAATAGTTTAGTAGCCTTGTGTGCTTGTAAAATTTGTTGTTATTTGGTATCCTTTTTCTTTACAATTACAATTGACCCCCAAAATGCTGGGGTAATATGAATAAAAAACAAAAATTCTTTCGAATTCCGTAGTCTTTGTTTTTGTCTTCACTGTCAGTGTCTTGCCTCTTCATATACTTTATCCAATTTTTTTTACTTTACGCGATGCTTAAAATTTTTTTTTTTTCAATTGTATCAGAAATTTTATTTGTCACACCTCAATATTTTATGTATTCATTGATTAGTTATTATCCCATACACTTTGCCATTATTTTAATAGGATTTTTATTAATTTTTATACAGTTTTTTCGTTAATTTGTATAGCTATTTTCACAGTTTTTCATTGCTTGTTGCAAATAATTTGACAGTTTGTTTTTTTTATTTGGAAATTTGTTTTGTTTTTTTCTCTTGCTTCAAGAAAGAGAGTTATAACTGTTGTCTATGTAGTGCTTTTGTTACAGATTTTAGTTGTTTTCTAAGTTATGAGGAAAATTAAAAGCAGTGCTTTTCAAAGTGGCCAGCAATTTGTAAATATGTTTTCCGAATAAATGACAAAATAATAATTACTTTTGCCATGAAATCTATTTAAAAAAATCGACATTATTATGTTAAAGAATGTATAACACTGACCTACAAGTCTTCCTCATCATTTTTAAACATTGTATATTTTTTCGACCAGAAAATTTTTAGAATTGTCAACATTGTTTGCACTTATTTTGTTTTTGCAGGGTTACTCATGTATTTTTAAAATGCAATCGTACAGTTGGTTAGAGAGCAGCGTAATTTGTTTAAAATGATAGAAATTAGGGTTCTATAAATCGACTTTCGAATAATCGAACAATCGACTTTTTGTCGAAAAAAGTCGAAAAGTCGAAGTCGACTATTTTGTTCCAAAAAAGTCGATAACTCGACTATCGTCTATGAAAAAAGTCGAAAGTCGAAAAAAGTCGAAAAAAATCGATAAGTCGAAAAAAGTCGAAGAAAGTCGAAAAAAGTCGAAAAGTCGGAAAAAGTCGAAAAGTCGAATATTTTAAAAAAGTGGAAAAGAGGTCAAAAACTCTAAAATAGTGGAAAAACTCGAACAAAGTAAAAAATAGTCGAAAAAAGTCGAAAAAAAGTCGAAAAAAAAGTCGAAATAAGTCAAAAAGTCGTAAAAAATCGAAAAGTCGAAAAGTCGGAAAAAGTTGAAAAAAGTCGGAAAAAGTCGAAAAAAGTCGGAAAAAGTCGAAAAGTCGAAAAAAGTCGAAAAGTCGGAAAAAGTCGACCATTTATAAAATACTAAAAGTCGAAAAGTCGACTTTTAAATAAATGAAAAAGGTTGAAAAATCGACTTTTCATAAAATGGAAAAAGTCGACTTTTAACTAAATGCAAAAAGTCGAAAAGTCGACTTTTCGTTTCAACTATAGAACCCTAATAGAAATACGTTTTTTAAAAGAACTTAAATTATCGTTAATTTTAAAGTTTCGATTCTGAATATAGACTGTTTATGATATGTTCTAAAATTTTAGTTTATGTTAAGTTGAAGAGAGGATATACTACATAAACATCGTGACTGCTGTGACCTCCTTTTGGTAGAAGTTAATTAATTAGTTAAGAGTTAATTGTAGTCATATGTAGGCCTCCATCGTCCCTGTTATGCGCTGCTTTACCAGTGTTCCGGTGGGAATGAAACCTTGACTCCCGTTCGAACGGTTTTGCTTTCGACAGGTTAACTTCTTCAAACTTCCCCCCTTTTATATTAAGTTCTTTATTGCCGATTATCCCCGACTGGCCTGGTGTCTATATGATGAAGTGCTTATCACTAGATTACTGGAAGAAATATTTATTTTTATCACTAGAAGATTACCCTTATTGCTATCTGGTTGTTGGAGAACATGTTACCCTATTTTGGCCCCATATTCAATACAATCCATTTTACACATTTCGTTATAGCACGGACTTTCTGTTTTGTGGCTGGAAAGGTGGAGGTTTATATTTAGATTAACGCGTTTGGATTATAAAATGAAGTCATTTCATTTTGGCGCAAATTCATTGGGGTTTTTGTATATGAAATTCTATTCCAAATTTAAATTCCTAGAATATATTTAGAATACAAATCCTTAACAAATTACCAGCCAATCCCTTCCCATTTTCTTAATCAAAGAAAAATAAAACACATTTTGCCAAATTTTAGTTACAACTTCTGACGATTCTCTAAGATGTATTTAATTCATGTTTGATTTGATTTTTTGTTTTTTTGGAATTTTCACAAAAAGATTTGAAAAATTGTTATTATTAAGAATAGTAGCTTATAATTAAGATAAAGTATGTTTATTTTTTTAAATATTTTGTTTTAATAAGATTTAAGCTAAATACAATTATTAAGAAAAGCATTCATTCATTTGTTTTTTTTTTTTTTTTTTTGTTAAGCCAATAATATTTTTACGTTTATATATTATATATGTTTGTTTTACGATAATAATATTAATAATAGTACACTAAGTTTATTTGTATTGTTGCGGGGGGATAGTAGATGTTGGTTATCTCCCCCTTTTATATTCATCATCACTTTAAAAAAGAAAAAAATTTAAACAAAAGGATGTCGGACAAAACATCCTTTTGTTGTGTATAGATATTATAAAGAGTAAGTATAAAATTGTTGGTATATTTTACGTTTTTTGTAAGTTTTGTTTGTTTGTTGTTGTTGTTTAAGTTAATAAAGTTTGTTATTAAATATTTAGAGAGTGTATATTAAATATTTCTAATATAATATGGAGTAGAAGAGTATAATTTTGTGTATTACAACTACAATATTAATTTAATAATCTTGTGGGATGTTGTGTGTTTAAAGGTTGTTGTTGTTTTTTGTTTAAATTTTAAATGCATCTTCAAGTTCCATATGCTGGTATCCAAAAAAAAAAAACTTCTCTTACTTTTTCTTACTCTACCTTGAGTAATTCAACATCAAAAGTCAAGGTGGCATTTGGTGGGATAACACCAGGATGGCCACGAGAACCATAAGCGTAGTCAGGAGAGCAGATCAACTTGGCACGTTGACCTACAGACAATTGAGCCACGCCCTCATCCCAACCACGGATCACTTCGGACTTGCCGATGGTGAATTTGAAGGGCTTATTACGATCGCGGGACGAATCGAATTTGGTGCCATCATCCAAGGTGCCGGTATAGTGGACAGTAACAACTTGTCCATTCTTGGGATAGGTGCTACCTGTAATTCGTGTTTGTACATCATTATGACAATAGGAATTCAATTAAGCACACACATACACAGCCCCACAAAGAAAAAGTACACATATAGAAAAAAAATAAGAGAAACATAAAATATAGGTTAGTTTGTCTGTCATTCTGGCAAAAATGCACAAATTTATCTTTAACATTTATTGTAAATACACCATATTATAGCTTACCATCACCAGGAGCAATTGGCACAATTTGTACACCCATTTTCTAGTTATTTAATTTGCTTTTTAACAGCTTTAAATAATAAATTTTTATTATCGGCGTTTTACGCGTGCGGTTTTTTTCCGTAAAGAAACAAATTTGGTATAGCAAAAATTTCGAGTCTCGTTTCGGTATCAATATGGCGTTATGGTGTTGTATATAAAAGCTGAAAGTTATGAAATCATTTTTATTACAACGGATAAATTTCATGGTGTTCATGTAGCGATTTTTTGTAGTTACATTAATTAAGCAAAAAACTACAAATTTTAATTAAATTTTATTCTTATAAAAAATGTAGGAAAATATATAATTTATATATTATTAATAATCATTTATAAGAATAGATAAACTTGAATCCTACGTAGTAACTTTTCTCGAAAACAACTTATTTTTTTCTACATGTTAGTATGAAGAAGTTGGTAGTTGGTGTTCTAGTCTGTCAGACCGAAGGCCATGGGTTCGATTCCCTACAGAGATACAACAGGCCCGCTGGATGCCTCCTCCTTTCAATCTAACTAGTTGACTTTGAATGCAAAGTATACTTTATATTCGGGGATCTGATAACAATTTTAAAACTTAAAACTAGAAAACATATAGACGTATACATATTGATTTTGTTATTTCCTTTGTAACATTGCTCTTAGACCCATAATATTCGGGATTCTTTCTAAAGTGCCTTGAAGAACTATTTGCACAAAGTTATTTTTACCACTTCTGTCACATGGGGGGCGGTTGGTGACGTAATGAATCGTATTTCATAGTTCAGTTCAGTCAGGTTGTCTGGGGAAACAGCGACAAACAGATGATAGAAATGTCTGGGGAAACGCCATTCTCGTAGAAAATTCCTCATTTATGGCAGCGAATTCCGATAAGTCTTTCTGGAAATACTGCGTGGATCGTGACAACTGTCACCGGGAGATTATTTTAAGATTTGGTCCAGGGGATGTTTTTGGGCAATATTCAGTCCGGGGGAGTGGATTTTGGACATGGAATCGTAATTTAAGGTGTAATTGCGCTGGTGTTTTGGGGCTGTAAACTACAATATACATACATACTCCTATGAAGCTGGGGGTCAGCTGTTGCTGTTGCAACACGACTGCGGCCAAAACTTCTTTCCTGTGGAAGAAACCCTTATGTTTATTATAGGACTGAGGTAATATTACGCTTTGGGCGTTCTCAGCATACTGAACAAAGTAGATGGATATGTCATGTCCTATGGGATAACATCCAATTTTGGGGTAATAAAGTGGGACTATTTGGGTCGACTGCCTTAGTACCCAACCCTAAAATAAACTCAAAATCGTGGAATATTTACAAAACACATAATTTTACATCTTTTTAAGTGGAATTTTTACAACAAAGTTTAAATAATCATTGTTTTATGAGTAAAATCTTGTTTAAAATCACTCATGCTGGCCTCTAGTATTTTTCCCTCCTTCTTTGAATTAAAAACAATTTACAATAAAAACTCTTTAATTTATTTCAAACATTATAAACAAATTATGTAGGCAATTAAATAATATCAGAAGACAAAATAATAATAATGATGTAAAAAGCCTTAAACAAAATTAGGAAACTAAAGTAAATGGTAAGAAAATAACTTAAATAAATTATAATTACTACAAATTCAAAAAAATCATAAACGTAAAATCCTAACAGAAGTATTGCACGCTTAAATTAAAATTTAAAAATTTCATTTGCTTAAAAAAAAATAATTTAAAAAAGAAACACAGTTATAATTTAAAAAAAAATTTTTTTTTTTTGGTTACTATACCAACTTAAGTTTAAGAATGTTAAAATTCAGTTATTTTTATTGTTATTATTATGTATTTATGGGGTAGTTAGTTAAAGAATAGGTTATATACAATATTTATATGTAGTATATGTACTAAATAGTTGTTAATTTATATTTAATTATATGTTTAGAGAGAAGTTTATGCTGAGAGAGATATAAAAGGATGTGTGAGCTTTGGTAACAGGCATGGACAATTTAATACATTTTAAGTAGTTTTTGATATCGAAAAATACCGCTGAACCTCTACGACTTATTCCGTACTTATTCTTACTGATAAACTTTTGATAAAGTCCATAATTTAGTGTATAGTCTAGTCTATAGTTTAGTCTATAGTCTAGTCTATAATTTAGTCTATAGTCTATTCTATAGTTAAGTCTATAGTCTAGTCTATAGCCTAGTTTATAGTCTAGTCTATAGTCCAGTCTATAGTCTAGTCTATAGACTAGTTATTAGTCTAGTCTATAGACTAGTTTATAGTCTAGTCTATAGACTAGTTTATAGTCTAGTCTATAGACTAGTTTATAGTCTAGTCTATAGACTAGTTTATAGTCTAGTCTATAGACTAGTTCATAGTCTAGTCTATAGACTAGTTTATAGTCTAGTCTATAGTCTAGTCAATAGTCTAGTCTATAGACTAGTCAATAGTCTAGTCTATAGTCTAGTCTATAGTCTAGTTTATAGTCCAGTCTATAGTCTAGTCTATAGTCTAGTCTATAGTCTAGTCTATAGTCTAGTCTATAGTCCAGTCTATAGTCTAGTCTATAGTCTAGTCTATAGTCTAGTCTATAGTCTAGTCTATAGTCTAGTCTATAGTCTAGTCTATAGTCTAGTCTATAGTCTAGTCTATAGACTAGTTATTAGTCTAGTCTATAGACTAGTTTATAGTCTAGTCTATAGACTAGTTTATAGTCTAGTCTATAGTCTAGTCAATAGTCTAGTCTATAGTCTAGTCTATAGTCTAGTTTATAGTCCAGTCTATAGTCTAGTCTATAGTCTAGTCTATAGTCTAGTCTATAGTCTAGTCAATAGTCTAGTCTATAGTCTAGTCTATAGTCTAGTCTATAGTCTAGTCTATAGTCTAGTCTATAGTCTAGTCTATAGTCTAGTCTATAGTCTAGTCTATAGTCTAGTCTATAGTCTAGTCTATAGTCTAGTCTATAGTCTAGTCTATAGTCTAGTCTATAGTCTAGTCTATAGTCTAGTCTATAGTCTAGTCTATAGTCTAGTCTATAGTCTAGTCTATAGTCTAGTCTATAGTCTAGTCTATAGTCTAGTCTATAGTCTAGTCTATAGACTAGTTATTAGTCTAGTCTATAGACTAGTTTATAGTCTAGTCTATAGACTAGTTCATAGTCTAGTCTATAGACTAGTTCATAGTCTAGTCTATAGACTAGTTCATAGTCTAGTCTATAGTCTAGTATATAGTCTAGTATATAGTCTAGTATATAGTCTAGTCTATAGTCCAGTCTATAGTCTAGTAAATAGTCTAGTCTATAGTCTAGTCTATAGTCCAGTCTATAGTCCAGTCTAGTATATAGTCTAGTCTATAGTCCAGTCTATAGTCCAGTCTATAGTCCAGTCTAGTCTATAGTCCAGTCTATAGTCCAGTCTAGTCTATAGTCTAGTCTATAGTCTAGTCTATAGTCTAGTCTATAGTCTAGTCTATAGTCTAGTCTATAGTCTAGTCTATAGTCTAGTCTATAGTCTAGTCTATAGTCTAGTCTATAGTCTAGTCTATAGTCTAGTCTATAGTCTAGTCTATAGTCTAGTCTATAGTCTAGTCTATAGTCTAGTCTATAGTCTAGTCTATAGTCTAGTCTATAGTCTAGTCTATAGTCTAGTCTATAGTCTAGTCTATAGTCTAGTCTATAGTCTAGTCTAGTCTAGTCTAGTCTATAGTCTAGTCTAGTCTATAGTCTAGTCTATAGTCTAGTCTATAGTCTAGTCTATAGTCTAGTCTATAGTCTAGTCTATAGTCTAGTCTATAGTCTAGTCTATAGTCTAGTCTATAGTCTAGTCTATAGTCTAGTCTATAGTCTAGTCTATAGTCTAGTCTATAGTCTAGTCTATAGTCTAGTATACAGTCTAGTTATAGCCTATTCTATAGTCTAGTCTATAGTCTAGTTTATAGCCTATTCTAGTCTATAGTCTAGTCTATAGTCTAGTCCATAATCTAGTCTATAGTCTAGTCTATAGTCTAGTCTATAGTCTAGTCTATAGTCTAGTCTATAGTCTAGTCTATAGTCTAGTCTATAGTCTAGTCTATAGTCTAGTCTATAGTCTAGTCTATAGTCTAGTCTATAGTCTAGTCTATAGTCTAGTCTATAGTCTAGTCTATAGTCTAGTCTATAGTCTAGTCTATAGTCTAGTCTATAGTCTAGTCTATAGTCTAGTCTATAGTCTTAGTCTAGTATACAGTCTAGTTTATAGCCTATTCTATAGTCTAGTCTATAGTCTAGTTTATAGCCTATTCTAGTCTATAGTCTAGTCTATAGTCTAGTCCATAATCTAGTCTATAGTCTAGTCTATAGTCTAGTTTATAGCCTATTCTATAGTCTAGTCTATAGTCTAGTCTATAGTCTAGTCTATTGTCTAGTCTATAGTCTAGTCTATAGTCTAGTCTATAGCCTATTCTATAGTCTAGTTTATAGCCTATTCTATAGTCTAGTCTATAGCCTATTCTATAGTCTAGTCTAGTCTATAGTCTAGTCTATAGTCTAGTCTATAGTCTAGTCCATAATCTAGCCTATAGTCTAGTCTACAGTCTAGTCTATAGTCTAGTCTACAGTCTAGTCTATAGTCTAGTCCATAGTCTACTCTATTGATTAGTCTGCAGTCTAGCCTATAGTTTAGTCTATAGTATAGTCTATAGTATATTCTATAGTATAGTCTAGTCTATAGCCTATTCTATAGTCTAGTCTATAGTCTAGTTTAGTCTGTAGTCTAGTCTATAGTCTAGTCTATAGTCTAGACTACAGTCTAGTCTATATTCTAGTCCATAGACTATTCTAGTAAAAACTTAGTTTAGTACTTTAAAACCTAAAAAGTACTCACTCTTTTTATTATAAGTTAGTAATATTTCAAAATTACAATTTTCCATGCCTGTGTTGCAATGAAATTCTCGTTTGTTTTTTGTTTTTGTTAAATATTAATACAATTTTTTAAATTAAAAATTTTACTTAAAATATTGCTCAGACTTGACTTTATATTACAAACATAGATCTACAACTAATTACACTGTATTATGTATGTTTTCTTTGTTATTATTATTTAGACTAAATTTATATTACAATTTACGTATAATTCATTTAGTTTTAATTCATGATAATGGTTATTATTGTACTGTATTATATTTTTTTAAATTAATATTAATATATTTAAATGTTTTATATATAAAATTAGTTTTTTTTTTTTTGTTTGAATATGTATCTTAGTATTTAAACATTTTATTAATAAATTTTTCTAATTTTAGTTTTTTTTTACATGCATATACTTTTAGTTTTTAATTGATAATTATTACTTTTAACATTTTAATGTTGATTTTGGTAAGTGAGAGGGTAATTTTTGTTTGTTTTTAATTTTTAAATTGTAGGTTTTTAAATTTAATATTTTTATGTTTTTTTTTGCAGTTTTGTTATAAATTTCTTTTTATAATAAAAATAAATTTTTCTATATACTTTTGTTTTTACTCTAACAAATTGTATTTGTTGTTTAAATAATATTTTAAAATTACAAATTTAATGTGAAAATAACTCCTGGTTAAATAGGTTTTCTTAAAAAACCTTATTTTTGTTTAAATCATTTTTTGAAATCTAAATTATATTCCAAAACAACGAAAATTTTAAAGCTTTTGAAATCCTCTCTTTGAAAATGATTTCATTACATTAAATACTGCTTTATGTTAATAAATTAAAATCTTTATCTTTATTTTTAATAAAATACAAAATAATTGTTAAGATAGTTTTAAAATTATTAAAACAACTTATTTTACCATTAAATTAAAATTAAGGAAAAATGGCATATTATTTAATAAAATTTAAGGGTTTTCTTATCATATAATATTAATTTCATTCGAGTCTATTTTTTTGTTTTATTAATAATTAAAAATATTGTTTATAAACTTCATGCAAATACATATTTTGTTTTGTACAAAATGCTTTATTTTTTTTTTCTCTTGCATTAAATGTTATTTAATAATTATTTAATTTAATTTTGCAACTAAACTAATAAAACAATAAATATATAAAGGAACATATTAAGTATTTGGGTAACTTTAAACTAAAAACTTGTTTAAATTATAAACTTAATAAAATAAAAAACATTTTTACTTTTTCTGAGTATTTTATATAAAAAACAGTGTGATAAATGGTTTTTAAACCTTAAACGCAAGTTAGGCAAATTTGTATTTTATTGTAGAGCCAAAGACACTGAAGTTTCATTAGAATTATTACGAGCAAGTAACACCAATGAAATATTTGGTTCCAGAACTGTAGGTTACAGTCGGTGATATCAACGTTTAAGCTGCTTCTATAGACCAGTTTTAGTTATCAGACTATAGAGAAGTCTGTAAGTCAGACCATAGAGCAATATATTGACTAGTCTATAGATCAAACTATAGATAAGATAGGACAGTCCATAGATCATCATAAAGATCAGGCTATTGGCCATTCTATAGACTTGTCTATAGTCTATGCTGCAGATAAGGCTATAAATAAGTCTATAGATCAGACTATAGCTCAGTCTATAGATCAGACTATAGCCCAGTTTATACTCTATATCCCAGTCTATAGATCAGACTATAGCCCAGTCTATAGATCAAAATATATAGTCTAAATTATATTCTTTATATCAGATTGAAGATCCAAATAAAGATCTTACTATAGTACACTCTATAGATCAGCTTGGAGATGTAAATCATTCTATTGACTTGCCTATAGAATAGTCTGTAGATCAGACTATAGACAATTCTTTAGAACAGAATATAGTCTGATTTATAGTCCGTATATCAGATTATAGATCAGTTTATAGACCAGATTATATATCAGTTTATGATCAACAATAATCCTGTACGTACATCAGACTACAGACCAGTCTATAGATTAGACTATACATCCGTCTATAAATAAGGTTATAAGACCAGTCTATATGTCTAAAGGCCAGTCTATAGACTAGTATATGGATCAGACTATAGACTAGTCTTTAGTTCAGTCTCTAGATCTTACTATAGTCCAGTCTGTATATCATACTATAAGCCAGTCTAAATATCAGTCTGTATACCAGTCTATAGATCGGTCCATTCTATTGATTAGACTACAATCCAGTCAGATGATCATATTATATATATCTATAGATCAGTCTATATATCATGTTATATATGAGTCCATAGATCAGACTACAGGCTTGTTTGTAGATCATATTATAAAGTTATCTGTATATCAGATAGTCCTGTCTATAGATCAAGTCTATGGATTAGTGTATAGATCTAAATACTATAGGCCATAACACTATAGATCCCTCTATACACAAGTATGTAGATCAACAATTGAACAGATTAGTCTATACAGACTAAGATTATTGGTCAGTTTATAGGCCAGGCTGCAGACCAGGCTACAGATCAGTCTATAAATTATATTATAGACCAGTATATAGACCATACTATAGATCTGTCTATAGACCGTTCTATAGATCAGACTGCAAGCTACTGAAGATCAGATTACACATCTATAGATCAGTCTAAAGATTAGGCTATAGATCTGTTTACAGATCAGACTACAGACCTGTTTGTAGTTCATATTATAAAGAAGTCTATAGATCAGACTATAATCCAGTCTGTATATCAGACTATAGATCAGGAAATATACTAAAATTTTATATTTCTCCTCCTTTTTTTTAATAATGTAATATGTTTTTATTTGACATTGAAACACTTTTTTGATCTTGCATATTTGCAAGACTTATTTGTAATGATATTAAGGATTGCAAATTAGATGGGCAATAGTAAATGATAATGTTGTATAGCAAACTGTATTATTAATGTTTTCAATATTAGACTTATTTACCATTAAGAGTAAAAGCGTCTGCTTTAAAATGTCCATTTTTATTTGTGATGCAAATGTGGTAAATGCGTTATATTTCGAGAATATTTTGATATCTTATTTATTCTTTTTCAAACAAAATTACACAATTAAACAACAAACATCATTATTTGAGCAATCTGATTAAAAAGTTAACTTTAATGTTAAACTTTAAAAAGAAAAAAATGATTAACATTTCTAGAGAAGCAAAGTAGTTTTAATAATTAGATGTTTTAATTTGATAAAACTATATTGAACAACAAATATTTGCTAATAATATTGTAATATGATAAATTCTTTAACACATTTTGTATAAACTTTTAGAAAAATGAAATAAAAAAATCTGCCGGCAAATTCTAAATTACAAACTAGAGTATTAAATTATACGAATATATAAAAAATAATAAACAACAAAAACAAAGACTAAACAAATTTAAACATTATACTTGCCTTTATATGGACGCTATAAACAACCTACACAATTGGGATTTGAGGGATAACGAAATTCAACTTGACCAATACGATTGGGTATACGCAAATGTGGCGGTAAATGTAAACGATATTTTTCCATGGGTACGCAGCGTTTTGAAGGCATCGGTTGCAATACCATATTGAGTATTTTAACTTGATATTTTTTACTCCTACGATCTTTGTTGTTCTTTTGCGGCGGCACTTTATTAGAGATGGTCATCGTATGATCAATTTCAATGGTATGTTTTTTGGCATTCCAATCATGATTTTCATAATGACAATGTTTTAAAAGTTTATCCTCGTCTAAGAATTTAAAATTACAACAATGGCAAATATATTTTTCACCACCATTACGGCTCAGTCGATTGTGTTGTATTAGATGACGATCTAATTGATGTTGATATTCAAAGTGACCGCCACATTTATAGCAAACATAGCGTCCTTTATTCTGCAAATCCAGGTGATAGTCTAGAAATACTCTTTAGAAAATGAAAACATTGCAATTATTAATAAGTTATGGGAAATTTTTGTTTGAGGACAAACTTACTTGCTGGTAAAACAATAGCCACATTTGTGGCAATAAAACCAAGGCTTTTTAAAATGATAGATATAATCATGCACCATCATGTCATTGAGAGTGGTACAGGTGAATCTACAGTCTGGCACAAAACAGGTTAACGAGTTAAGTCTCACCTCAATTTTTAAGCGTTCAAGTAAATAAAGATCTTTAAAGAAAAGTTAATTCCAATTAATTATACAAAAGTTATATGTTTAAATGTAAAAAAAATGTCTTACCATATTCCTTAAGAGAACGAAATGGTATATCTTCCATATATTCATCAATATAGTTGTCGCTCTGCGACAAATGACTATGTGAACTTATACTGTGCTCTTCCACCCAGTGATTGGTGAAAGATAAACGTTTTGAATACAAAGTATCTGCTTGGGAGACATCGTCTTCTTCGTCTTCATCATCATCATCATCGTCATTCTGTTCTGCCTCTATTTTTTGTTTTTCTTTGTCTTTGTCTTTAGCTTTTAAAATTTTATGTTCCTTGTTTAGTTGTGAAGTAGTTTTGTTACTTTCATTTTCTGTCTCATTGGTGTAAAGATGTTTGTGCCTTTTAACATAATTTGTTATGGTAGATTGACCATCATCGTTGGCTGCTGCCAACTGTTCTGTTGGCTTAATTTTAGGCGGTCTACCTCTTTTGCCAGTTTTTACTTTTTTAACAGTTTCCGCCTTAGAAGATGCTACACTAGGGGCTACTGAAGCTGCCTTTGAATAGGAACGTGTCCTTCTTCTGGCCGGTTTTAGTTCGGGTGATTTAACTTCATTTCTTATATCCTCTAAACCTTTTTCAAAAACTTCCTTTTTGGCTATACATTCCACCCGGTGAAAATCATAATCATTTTGTGAAGTATACTCACCGCTGCAAATGTCACAGTAGTAACGTGGCAAATGTATACGTTTGTGTTGACGTAATTTAGCTAGATTTTCCACTGTAACAGTACAAATATTACAACGATATGTACGCGGCTGATTCGTACAAGTGACACGTTCATTTCCCTCCGAGGCCACAGATATGGTATCCAATTCCAAGCGACTGGCACTGCGTGAACGTGTTGGCATCATTGATTTGGCATAACGATTTTTGGCGCTACAGCGACGCATATGTTTGCGATAGTAATCCTTGCGCCAGTAGGCACGATTACAGTGTGTACATATCATTTGGACGGGTATAACCTGTACACGCTGATAGCTGCGTTTATTATTTTTACCACCCCCACCTGATTCGGTATTTAGTGGGGAAACGGGACGCTCATAATGTATTCTTAACATTGAATCATGTCCGGCATTAGTGGGCGTAGGAGATCTTGATATGGCATCAAATGTTTGATTCGATAATAGATTAGGGGCAGGAGGTGATGCAGTGGCAAGCGGTAAGGTCAAATCATTAGCTGTATCATCACAATAACCAGGAGCATAGCAATTGCGTTGTGGTTGCAGAGTATTCGAGTGATCTGCTGTATCATCCAGTAATGTGGTAGTTACTTGCAGAAAATTATTGGGACTAGTATCGGGTGTGGGTGGAGCTAAAACAACAGTCTGGCTGTGCATAGCCTGTTCGCAACGCATACGTAATTTCGAAGATGATTCGGTTATAGCACCAATATAAACTAAGCAACGAGAACAAACGGCAGCTAAAATTTGTCTGATATCCCAACTCTGAAAGGTGAAATGTGCAGGAAGTTGATTAGGTTATGTGACAAAATTAATAAATCAAGATTTAATAAAAAAAGAAAAAATTATAAACAAGAATGTTAAGCAAATTATACAAATTTTTAGAAATTTTCTGAATAGGAAATAGGTAGATAGAATGATAGATAGGTAGATAGATAGATAGATAGATAGATAGATAGATAGATAGATAGATAGGTAGATAGATAGATAGATAGATAGATAGATAGATAGATAGATAGATAGATAGATAGATAGATAGATAGATAGATAGATAGATAGATAGATAGATAGATAGATAGATAGATAGATAGATAGATAGATAGATAGATAGATAGATAGATAGATAGATAGATAGATAGATAGATAGATAGATAGATAGATAGATAGATAGATAGATAGATAGATAGATAGATAGATAGATAGATAGATAGATAGATAGATAGATAGATAGATAGATAGATAGATAGATAGATAGATAGATAGATAGATAGATAGATAGATAGATAGATAGATAGATAGATAGATAGATAGATAGATAGATAGATAGATAGATAGATAGATAGATAGATAGATAGATAGATAGATAGATAGATAGATAGATAGATAGATAGATAGATAGATAGATAAGATAGATAGATAGATAGATAGATAGATAGATAGATAGATAGATAGATAGATAGATAGATAGATAGATAGATAGATAGATAGATAGATAGATAGATAGATAGATAGATAGATAGATAGATAGATAGATAGATAGATAGATAGATAGATAGATAGATAGATAGATAGATAGATAGAGAGATAAATCATGCAAATTCAATACATTTTTGACATCTGAGTCCATGCGTCTTGTAAAAGTTCCTATCCTAGTCGTGAGAAAATGTTAAAATCTTATTTTACATATTCAGTTACCATTTGAATTTGTTTACATTTTGCATCAAAGAAAGAAAATACTAAGTACCAATAGTTTTTCAATTAGGTGGCTAATAAAAAGACAACTAAACTTAATTTAAGGGTTTCAGAAGACATTAAAATCTTCAAAAAACTCTTGGAATAAAAGCACGGATAGTAAACACCTTCATAAAACTGTACAAAATACATTATGGCTTTCACTTTCTTAAGCCAAATATTACTACTAACCAAACATTAGTAAAAGCATCCACAAATTTTCAAAACAAAAGCAAAAAAATAAAACCAATTTCTTTAAGAATTTCTTAATGTTTAACATACGTCACTTACTGGCAGTCTCGTAATATCACTGACAGTCAATACGGTTGCATGACTATTTTGCAGATTAACACAAACTTCATCCTTGCGACAGCACATATTACACACCGTCGTTGTCGGCGGTACGTCCGTTTTGCCGGAAGCATTATTTTTTGTTGCCTGCACTGTCTTGTTATCATGATGTTTGAAGGCAGCATTTAGCAGTTGTTGCTGTTCCGGTCCCGATTCATTATTGGTGTCCACCTGCAGGGGTGCTGCAGGCATTGAGGTTGCCGTCGATCGTGACCGTCGCAGCAGTCGTATTAGATTTCTTTTTTGACATGCACTTATTCCACTTGACTGCTGCTGATGAGGATCGTTCACAACACTCGCACTAATTTTATTGTCGTCTTCATTCATAATATACAATAAGAATTATTTAAGTTTTTTTCTTCTTTTCTTTTCAATTTTTTTTTCAGGCCGTTTTGTTTTCTTCACAAAATTATTTTTTCTCACACAATTTTTGCTTTTTGTTTGTATTTTATTTGTTTGAAATATGTCATGCCGTTAGCACTGGCTTTAGAATGGTAAATATTTGTTAATTATTTTTTCTATTTTAAGGTGTAAAATTTATTAAAAATAATATTAAATATTTCACAAAATAAATTTTTTCTCTTCAGCCGCAGCACTCTTTGACTTTATTGTATGTTTGACATAACGTTGTTGTTGTAGTAGCATTTGCTATAATTTTTCAATGTCAAAACAAAGTAGCGTTGTATTTTGAAAGCTAGCTGGGGCGTGTTTACACCACACGTGTTTGTGATTACACTGTAAAAATGATGATAATGATGTTTGGTTAGAAAGAAAAAAAAACATTTATTCATTAAAATAAGAAAATGTAAATAACTTTGGAAATAATTATTTGAAGTTTATATTTTGGTATCGCCTTCGAATTTAATTCCAATACCGCTATTAAAAAGTATTTTATTTAAATGTTATCGATTACGCTTATCAAAGACACTGTTAATCGGTTTAATTTTACACTGACTACTAGATGACGCAGCGTATTGTGAGACATGTTTCAGCTGTGCTCAAACATAGATGGCGCAATACAACATACTATTGTCAAAAACATAAATTGTAAGCAGACGTAGCCTACAGATGTCTTTGAGTTTCCAGAATGTCAAATTACATATGAAAAAAATTTGACATTTATTGAAACCACATAGAAATAATTTTACAAATTGTCACTCGCTGTCACCTTATCATTCAAGTTGCTATACTATCATTTAATACAATGACTCTCAAACTGTGGAAGGTTTGTGTCTTGAATAATTGGAAATTTTTCCAACTTTGAGTTGGAAATTGGAAATTTTTGCTGAGGCTCAGCAAAAATTTCCAACAAACGTTTTTTTTATATGAACTCAGCAAGCTACTGAGAGGTGGGGTATCTCAGCAAAATTGTCCGTTAAGAAATGTACGTGTTTGTGTGTCGATCCCAGCAAATTTTGCTGAGGTCGATTGGCTCAGCAAAAATTTCCATTTTAAAATGGAAATGATGATATTGGAAATGGAAATGACGCTACGTTGGCGTGGAATTGATGCATTTTGTTATTCTTTGAATGATCATTTTTAATCAAAATTATATAAATTTGAATAATTCAATTATTTATTGTTTGTTTTGCTCCATGGATATTTAATTTGGGGATGATTAAGTGGCGCTGGCGGCGAATGCCTTGGATCGACCTCAGGCAATTTAAATGCTGGTGTTCTAAATATAATCGTCGTACCCCTATATAGGGATACTGCAGTTCTCAATAAAGAACGTCCCTATTATTGGGATACTATAGTTAAAATATTAGGAATAATCATTATTTGCAATCTCTTATAAAATCTGGTAGAAAAACTCACATGATTGTCTTGTTCAAAATTTTCTCGGAATTTTTAGTTTAAAGGTTTATTTATACCCAAAAGAGTTTGTAACACATTGAAATATTGCTCATAGATCCACAAAAGTGTATATATTCTGGGTCCTTATTAAATTTTAAGACGATCTAGCCATGTCCGTCTGTCTGCTGAAAGAACGATAGAGTCCGAACGAGAAGGGCTAAGGAGCTGGAATTTTATACACATTTTTTTTATTTATGCAGTTTGTTTGGTATTGAAAATGGGCAATATCGGTCCACGTTTTCGCATAGCACCCATACAAGTGGCCCCCCGAAAAAAAGCTTTAACAGTCATAACTGTTAAAAAAATAAGAGTATAGCAATGAAATTCGGCATAGTATCGGTCCATAATTGACCCCCCCATATAAGGTCCCCTTCAGAAAATGACATAAACGCCAATTTCTGGCTTAAAAATACGAGTATAGCGATGAAATTCGACCAAACTGTACCAAATTTTATGGGGATCGGTCCATAATTGACCCTACCCCCACATAAGGTCCCCTTCAGAAAACTACTTTACGCTCATTACATAAAAATACGAACATAGCGATGAAATTCGACAGAAGAAAGTTTCTTAAGAGCAAAAATCTCTGAAATAAATTTTTTGAGGACCGGTCCATAATTGACCCTACCCTCAAATAGGTCCCCCTTCAGAAAATTACAGTAACGCTAATAACTGGTATAAAATTGCGATAATAACGCCTGGGATAATGAGATAAAAATGGTGGTGGAGAGACTACACTACACTGTAGTGTGTCTCGCCAATGCTATTTTAGTTACTAATCAGTTGCTGATATACTCGTCGACATCTATATTTGTAAGTGCTTCTTAAATTGCCGAAGTAGTTACGTTATTGAAGTAACCTTCTATGTCTAAGAAGGCTACTATAACGTGGACAACCTCGTGTAGAGCTATCTCTCTGTGGATTGACCTTTAAGGTAGGCATGTCAACTGATTGATAGCCGTATTGAGCCGACATCATATCGTCTTGATATTAAAGGATGAGAGACTAATGTGACGAGTAGTTTTCCGGATTTCCGATAGAGTCCTATTTTCATTAGCGGTTTCCCACATCACAGCAAGATCGACAAAAGCCGTAACTGCAAGAAAAAGAAAAACTTTAGTTTCGTCATCTCGGAAAAGATCGTCCTCCACGAAGAATATCTGTGTACACAGGTGGCCCTAAACGAGGAGAACGAGTAGGGGGGGGGGGTTCATTTTCATACCAGAATTTGGAATCAGGATTACTTTCAAAATCGGCAATGATTGCAGTCCAAATCAGCCATAAAAGGAGCAGCTCTGGTATCATAGGATATTGATACCAAGCTGTAATGGTAGTCAAGCTGTAATCAAGTCCCTGATAGATGCATACTCTACATCACAACTAGTCCAGGAATGCCTCACAATGACTACTGTATAAGCTGTCAAGATGAGGAATCAATTGAATATCTTATATGTCATTATATTGCATTGGTGAACATTCGACTCCGATATCTGGGATATCGATTTTTGGAGGAGAGAGTTATCTGGAATTAAACTAGATAATAGATAATAAAGGACTTTATCAGTAGCTCTTTCCCTTTTAAATTAAATAAGATATTTTTAAATAAAAAAAAAAATTAAAGAAATATTTAATATTTAAATATAAAATTTATAAAAATACTTAGGTAAAAAAATTTAAATAATTAAAAAAATTTTAATAAAAAAAATTCAAAAATATAAGATTTTAATAAAAAATTTAGTTTAAAAAAAAAACAAAAAATATTTTTTAATAGAAAAAATTAAAAAAAAAAGATTTTTTAAATTAAAAGATATTTTTAATAATTAATAAAAAATAAATAATTTTTTAAATAAAAAATATTTAAATAGATTAAATTAAAAAAAAATATTTAATATTTGATTAAAAAATTGATAAATATTTTTTAGATAAAAAAAGTAATTTTTTTAATAAAAAAAATTCAAAATATTTGTTAAAAAACAAAAAAGAAATAATCTTTTAATAGAAAAATTAAAAAAAATATGTTTAATAATTAAATAAAATAAATTATTTCTTAAATAAAAAATATTTAATAGATTAAATTAAAAAAATATTTAACATTTAAATAAGATAATCGTTAAATATTTTTTAGATAAAAAATTTAAATAATTTAAAAAAATATTTTTTTAATAAAAAAAATCAAAAATATTTGTTTTGAATAAAAAAAAACAGAAAAACTATCTTTTAATAGAAAAAATTTTTTTGATGAAGAACATTTTTAATAATTAATTAAAAATAAATTATTTTTTAAATAAAAAATATAAATATATCAAATAAAAAAATATTAAAAAATTAGTAAATATTTTTTTAAATAAAAAAATTAAATAATTTAAAAAAATCAAAAATATTTGTTTTTATTAAAAAAAAACTATAAAATATTTTTTTAATAGAAATAGAAAGATAGAAAACTTTTTTTTTAAATTGAAAGATATTTTTAATAATTAATTTAAAATAATTTTTTTAATAAAAAATATTTTAATAGAATATATTAAGAAAATATTTAATATTTAAATAAAAAATTTATAATTTTTTTTAGATAAAAAAATTAAAATAAAAAAAAATTAAAATTATTTGTTTTTAATAAAAAAATATTTAAAAAAAAATTAAAAAAATATTTGTTATATTAAAAATTACTTTTAATAATTAATTAATAATTTAATTAATATAAAATAAATTATTTTTTAAATAAAAAATATAGAATAGAAATAGATTCAATTAAAAAAATATTTAATATTTAAATAAAAAAATAATATTTAGAAAAAAAAAATAAAATAATCTAAAAAAAATTAAAAAAATTTGTTTTTAATAAAAAACCAAAAAAATATTCTTTTAATAAAAAAAATAAAAGTATTTTAATAATTAATTAAATAAATTATTTTTAATAAAAAATATTTAAATAAAAAATACTTTATATTTAAATAAAAAAATTGCTAAATATTTTTTAGACAAAAAAATTAAAATAATTTAAAAAAAATACTTTTTTATATTAAAAAAATACCAAAATATTTGTTTTTAATAAGAAAAAACAATAAAAAATATTTTTTTTAATTTTTTAAATTATAAAATATTTTAATAATTAATTAAATAATTTAACTAATTTAAAATAAATTATTATTTAAATAGATTAAATTAAAAAATTTTATATTTAAATAAAAAAATTAATAAATATTTTTCAGATAGATTAAAAAACTCATTTTTTTATTAAAAAAAAACAAAAATATTTGTTTTTATTAAAAAAAATCAAAAATATTTGTTTTTTTTTTTAAAAAAACAAAAAATATTTTTTAATGGAAAAATTCTTTTTTAAATTAAAAAACATTTTTTTTAATGAAAAAATATTTTTTAATAATTTTATATAAAAATTATAATATATTAATAAATAAAATGTTCTTAAAAAAATTATTTTATTAATAAAAAACCAAAAAAATAGTTTTTTAATAGAAAAACATTAAAAAACTATTTCTTAAATTAAACATATTTTTTAATAATTTTTTATTAAACAATTATTTTTATTAAATTTTAAAATAGTAAACAAATTATAATATTAAAAAATTATTTTTTCTTAATAAAAATTTTGTTTTTTTTTAATAATTGATTTTATTAAAAAATAAATTAATATTATAATTTTTAAAATTTTTTAATATTATAATTTTTTTACCATTTTAAATTTTAATAAAAATATTTGTTGAGTAAATAATTATTAAAAAATATTTTTAATTTAAAGAATTTAAAGAATATTAAAAAAAATATTTTTTGAATTAGAAAAATATTCTTTAAATTAAAAATATTTTTTAATAATTATTTACTCAACAAATATTTTTATTAAAATTTAAAATGGTAAAAAAATTATAATATTAAAAAATTTATTTTTCTTAATAAAATCAATCAAAACTATTTATTAAAAAACAAAATTTTTAATTTCAAAAAATTTTTTTTAATTTTTTTCTATTAAATTTAGTAATATATTTTTTAATTAAAAAAATATATTTCAAAATAATTTTTTTTAAAAGAAATATATTATATAATTATTTTTTTATTATTTTAAATATTAATAAAAATAGTTTTTAAAAAAAAAAATATTAAAAAATATTTTTTTAATTAATATTTTTTTTACTAAATTTAATAGAAAAAAATTATTTTTATTAAAATTTAAAATAATAAAAAATTAATTATATATTTCTTTTAATAAAAATTTATTTGTAAATATTTTTTGTAATAAAATAATTCAAAAATATTTTTTTTATAAAGAAAATTATAAAATATTTTTTTACAAGGAAAAATCAAAAAATATTTTTTATTATAAGAAAAATATTAAACAATATTTTTTTTAGAAAAAAATATTGAAAAATGTTTGTTAAACAAAATTAAAAAATATCTTGTTGAAAGAAAAAAATTAAAAATAATTTTTTATAAGAAAAAAGAATTTTTTCAATATTTGTTTTTTTAATTTTTTTCTATTAAAAGTATATTTTTATTTTTTTTTATTTAAAACAAATATTTTTGAATTTTTTTTAATGAAAAAAAAAAAAAAAATTATTTAAATATTTTTTTAATTAAAAAAATTATTTAAATATTTTTTTAATTAAAAAAAATGTTTTTTTAATTAAAGAAAATGTTTTTTAATTAAAAAATTTAAAAAAATACATTTTTAATTTTTTCTAGTAAAAGTATATTTTTTGTTTTATTTTTATTTAAAATAAATGTTTTTGAATTTTTTATTAAAATTTTTTTTTATTAAAAAAATATTTTTTTAATGAAGAAAAATTATTTAAATATTTTTTTAATTAAAAAAATTAAAAAAATAATTTTTTAATTAAAAAATTCAAAAAAATGTTTTTTTAATTAAAAAAAATTTTAAAAAATATGTTTTTAGTTATAAAAATTAAGAAATATTTATGTTTAACTAATTTTCTTATTAAAAAATATATATTTTTATTAAAATTGAAATGATCTTAGATCCGACTTGGTCGAATTTTTCTTTTTTTTTTTGTTTAAATAAAAACATATTTTTTTTAATTTTAAAATTTTTTTATATAAAAAAAATTAAAAAAATATATTTGTTAATTAAAAAAAATAAAAAAAAAATATTTTTTTAGTTACAAAAATTTAAAAAAATATTTTTTTAGTTATAAAAATTAAAAAAAAGATTTTTAGTTATAAAAATTAAAAAATATATTTTTTTAATTAAAAAAAATATAAAAAAACCTAAAAATTTAAATAAATTTTATTAATTTAAATTTTTTAACTAATTTTTTTAATAAAAAAATATAATAATAATATAAAAAATATAATAATAATATATATATATAATATATTTTTATTAAAATTTAAATGATAAAGGATAGCTAAGAAACGACTTGGTCGAATTTCTCTTTTTTTTTGTTAAAATAAAAACACGTATAATTTTTTTTTTATTTTTAAAAATTTGTTTGTGAATGTTTTATTATTTTTTTTTTTGAAATCTTCAATATTTCTTTTTTTGTGGTTGTTTTTAAATGGATAATTTTTGTTTGTTTCATATTTATCAGTCACACAATTGAGCTAAAAACTAATAATTCGATTAAAACTTAATAACTAACAGTTAAGGTTTTTGTTTTTTTAATAAAAAATAATTATTTTGATTTGTTTAATTAATAATAATAATAATTATTATAATAAATGCTAAAAAGAAAATTGTTTTAATAATTAACAAAGTAATGAAATTTAAAAAATAATATATACAGAGTAAAAATAATTTTTTTTTGTAAAATTAATATATATATACAACAAAATAAATTTAACTAAAATTTAATAATAAATCAAAAATTATAAAACAAATTAATGAAACTAATTTATTTAATTAATTGAAAAGCCTATTGCATTTGCCCCCAGCAGTAAATATTTAGGAATTATTATTATTTTTTTTTTAATTAAAACTTAATTTTTTTTAAGTTTTTATTTTATAATTAAAGATTAGTGTTTTTTTAAGATTAAATTATTTGTACATTTAAAGGTGCTTTAAAGAGTGCTTTGTATTTTTTTTAGTGTCAGTCTTATTAATTAATAATTAAAAAAATTAAAATTTAATTTGAACACATTTAAAAAAAAAAAAATTTATAAAAAAATTATTTATAAAATTAAGGTTTTAAAATTGTTTGAGGTAGTTGTGGTTGTTTTTTTTTGTTTAATAATTAAACTATAATTGTAAATAATAAAAACTAAGATTTTTAAAACAAATCACTGGCTTTTTTTAACAAAAAAGTATTTCTTTTTTTAATTTAATTAATTTTCTAATTAATTATTTAATTTTAATAATAATAAGTAATTTTATTAGTTAATTATTTAAAGAAAATTGAGCCTCTTTTTAGGTTTTAATTTTTTTGTAAGTTTTAGCCCTTTTCTTCAGTCTTTTTTTTTAATAAATTTTATATTGAAAATGGGCTAACTTAGAAAAATTTTTTTAAAGAAATTATGGCATTTTTTTTAATTAAGCTGCTTTTTAACTCTAAATTATTATTAACATTTTTTTGTATTTTTTTTTTTAATTATTGTTTTAGGCACAAGGTGATATTTAATAACAATACATTTATGTTTTTTTTAATAAATTAAGTGCTATAATTAGTTTAAATTATTTTGCTGTTTTTTTTAATTAATTTTAATTTAAAGTGCGGAATTTGTTTAAAATTTAAAAAGATTAATCCTAAAAATCAAAAGCTTAACTTTTGTTTTTTGATATAGGAAAGTTTTCTTTTTTTTTTGTTTTGTTATATAAAGCTAATGTACCGCCATTTTATTTTCCTAGGAAAATAATTTTCTTGAAAAAAACATAAAACAAAAAAATTTAAATTGTAAATAAACAAACTACGTTAAACGTTAAGATAAATGTCAAAAGTTCTAAACATAAGAGCAAAGCTAAAGTTAAGCCTTAATTACTCTTAAGTTATAAAGAACTTTTAAACTTTTAAAAGCTTAAGCTTTTTCCCCCAAAATACTTAAAAAAAAATACCTACAAACAGTTATAAACCACAACTAAGCAGAGTATTCTCTCTCTCTCTGTGTCTCTCTCAGCGTGAGGAAAATAAAGCATCATAACAAGTATCGGCCGCATATTGCCAAGCCATAGTAAGCATCAATCAGTCGGCTCTAACATCATCTATTACCACCTCACGTTTGAGATTAGATTCAGTGATAAAAGCTTCCTCCGAGCTAACTGTAGAAGGTAATTTTGTGCTGATTATAACCGATTTATCATTATCTCCAGAATTTGTTATTCCCGGCGAATAAGGGGTTTCAGGTCTTTCTCTTTGTTCTACCGGGGAACTACTATTCTCTTTGCGTGCTACCGACAAATCTTCCACATGATCATCTTCTTCTTCTTCATTACGTTCACGTTCTAAATCTTGATCACGTTCTCGTTCCCTTTCTCTTTCCACAAATTCACGTTCTCTTTCTCTCTCACGTTCCAATTCATGACGTTCCATTAGTTCCTGTTCGGCATTACGCATGCTATTGTATTTCAAAGCGAAATTAGAGGGACTGGGAGAACGTACAGCATTGCCATTGGGTCCAGGGCTAGTGGACATACGATTGGCAGCAGCATGAGCAGCAGCAGCCAAAGCCATGGCATGTAAAGCTTCTCTTCCAGCAATATCACCACCTCCACGATTTTCCAAAGCCTGTTGGAGGAAAGCATGATCTAAGAGAGCCGCCGCCGGATGTGGTATAGTGGGTGCTAAATGATGATGTTCACTATTACGATGATGTTCTTTCAGTTCACGTTCCTCTCTAATGGCAGCATCATGCATGGCAGCGGCAGCCGCTGAAGCTTGACCATAACCATGAGCATAAGGGAAGGCTGCTGAAGACTCTACACTGCTGGGACTACGTTTCATGGTACGATTCATGGGCCGGCCAGTGGTAATGCCCAACTTCTTGACCTTATCATACAAAGTGCGTGAGGGTACACCAAATTTGCGTGAAGCCTGTAAAGCGCTCATGCCTTCACGTACACACTGTATGGCGGACATAATATCACTGCGGGTATATTGTTTATAACGTTTCCATTCGGGTTTCTGATTGCCATTGTTAGTAAAATTGCCACCGAAATTACTGCCCTTGGGATCGAAACCATCATCCTCAAAGGAACGATCGGTAAAGGGGGAATGAGGCTCATCATGGTATTTCTAAAAAAGCAAAACAAAAAGTTATATAATTAGTTATATATATATAAAGAAAGCTTAAGTATATTTCACCAACCAAACGAAAACTTACCTTATCACTGTAATCCGAACCATTAAAACTATGATTATTATTATGACCACTTAAATTCTTATCCGCTGAGCCCGAGGATTTGTCAGCTTTAGTGCCCGCATTAGGTAACAATAAAGGCAATTGTTGAGAGGAATCGGCTGGGTTAGCTTGAGCCAAAACATTGCGTAAAATGGGAGTATCACGATTCATTAGCATGCTAGACATAGAGGATAACTTTTTACGTTTTAAGGGATTCATATCGGGTGCCGATTCATAAACCGAACTCAACATGGCAGCAGCGGCAGCGGCAGAAGGAGACAAAGGCCATTGAGCAGAACGTTCTGAGGTGGGTGTTAAATTACTGGGTGTCTGTTGTGTAGATTGAGGCTGGGCAGTTGAGGTGGTTTGATTAGCAGCGGGCGCAGGTGATTTGTTATATAAACTGGTATAGGGAGATTTGTAACTACTATAGGGCGGTGAGGAACTGCTGGACGGAGCAGCCGAGGGAGAAATATTTGTCGAGGTAGAGATCACGGAGGAGGAGTTATGGCGATAGTTGTCTGAATCCTTAGAGCTAGATTTGTTATGTGCTACAGCCGCTGGCGGTGAAGAAGTGGTGGTTACCGAAGAATAGGGATTTGAGGGAGCCGATGTACTGGCATAAGGATTACTAGCCGATCTTTCAGCATGTTCCTCACTTAGTTTATTGAATTTCTCCTTCAAATCAGCCATATCAAAAAGACCCTTTACTTCCAATTCCTCAGCTATACGCATTATTTTGGGTATTTGACTTTGGGTAACATTAACCTCTCCCGTATACATATATTCCAATAAAGCGCGCATTTCAAAAGCCTTAACACCCGGAAATATAATGCTACAATGATCCATGGGTAAATCTTGTAAAATCGATTGGAAATAGGGAGAATTGGCTGCCAAAACAACACGATGTGCCTTGAACTGTACTTGATCATCCACAACAATAGTACAGTCCACATAACTTTCCACCTTAATGAGAGCATCTAGTATCTCCACCAAATTCGATTTGTGATTATTCCATCTTAAACAATAGGTTTGTCCTTCGGGTGGGTTATTCGAAGAGGTAGGCGCTGGTGGGCCACCCATATTGTGTTGTTGTGTAGAAACCGGTGGACTTTGTGGTCGTTGAGGAGAGGGCGAATGAAAATCTTCTGGTGGAAAATTACCAAAAGCTTGATGAGCAAATTGTTTGCGTATTTTGAGAGCCAGCTTAAAGACTTTAAAAAGAGCGGTTTAACTAAAAAGAGAGAGGAAAAGAGCAATTAGTTATTAATAAGTTTTTTAGCTAATTGTTTAAAGAAATTTAATACTTTTTCTCAGGATGCTTTTTCTAATAAAAATGACATATTTTTAAAAATTTGCAATCAAATAATTTGGTTTTTTTTTTATATTTTCTTTAAGGTAGTTTTTTTGGGGGGATTTTTATGGTAAAAATTTGGCATTTTTGTTGTTGTTGTTGTTTTAAATTTTGGGTATGTATTTAGTTTTACAAAACATCCCCCTTTCTACTTTCATGCTTTACTTCCTTGTTATGTTTGTTTGTTGGTGTTTTTTATCTAGACTATTTTGCTTATAATATTCTTAAGCGTTTTTTTTTCGGCAAAATTAATGCGTTTTTTTTTATGGAATTTTTAATGAGGGGGTAGATTTTTTTAAAATTTTATTTTGGGGGTGAGTTTTTAGCAGGTTTATTGTTTTCTTTATGAAAAGTAGCGTGTGTTTTTTTTTGGCTAAAAATTCCCGGAAATTCGTGGTCATTTATTTGATTAAACTGTTCAAAAGTTGCAGTTTTTCTTGAGTATCTTAAAGGGCAAGAGCAAGGGAGAGAGAGAGCTAGTTGTTGTTGTTGTTTTAAGTGTTTTCATATTGTTGCCATATGTTAATTTGTAGCAAGAGATATGTGCAAACATAAATTAACAAATAACATGTGTAAAACATCAGGGGCGTTTTAAAGAGAAGCCAAAATTTTGAAGTATGTAAAAATTTTTAGGAAAAACGATCTTTTTAAATGATCTTTTCAGAAATATGTTGTTATTTAAGCAATAAAACAGAGTTCCAACACATGGTTTTAAAATTTATCATAAAAATTTGCTAATTTTTGTTAGAAATAGAAAAAGTTTGGTTTAAATTCTCTAAAAGAGAACCTTTTGCGAGAGTGATCTTTATATTTTAGTAAGTTTTTTAAAGATCCTTATAATTTTCATAAGATTTTTAACAACAATTTGCTGTTTTCTTTAAAATATTGAAAGAAATGTTAAAATTTAATGATCGCAAAAGTGATCTTGTTTATATAAGTTTTACTACTAATGATCTTGCTAGATTTTGCGTTCAAACACATGTTCCTTAAGTTTAACGAAAATATTTGCTAATATCAGTGAAAATGGAAAGTTTGGTTTAAAACCTTTCAAAAGAGAAGCTTTCGAGAGAGTGCTCTTTATATTTTTTGGAACTATTATAATGATCTTGCTGGATTTTTGTGTTTTATTTGAGTTTTAAGCAGTAAAAGAGATGTCAAACACATGGTTTTTAAATTTATCATAAAAATTTGCTAATTTTTGTTAGAAATAGAAAAAGTTTGGTTTAAATTCTCTAAAGGAGAATCTTTTGAGAGAGTGATCTTTATATTTTAGGACTATATTATAAAGATCTTTAAAATTTCTTAAGGTTTCTGACACGAATTTGCTGTTTTGTTTAAAATATTGAAAGAAATGTTAAAAATTTAGTGATCGCAAAAGTGATCTTGTTTATATTAGTTTTACTACTGCCGATCTTGCTAAATATTATCATGTATTTGAGCTTTGAGCAGTAAAAGAGAGTTCAAACACATGTTTCTTATATTTAACGAAAAGATTTGTTACTTGCAGTAGAAATGGAAAAGTTTGGTTTAAATTCTCTAAAAGAGAAACTTTTGAGAGAGTGATCTTTATATTTTAGGACTATATTATAAAGATCTTTAAAATTTCTTAAGATTTTTGACAAAAATTTGCTGTTTTGTTTAATATTTTGAAAGAAATGTTAAAATTTTAGTGATCGGTAAAGTGATCTTGTTTATATTAGTTTTACTACTAATGATCTTGCTAGATTTTTGTGTTTTTTATTAAAATATCTTTTGTAAAATATTAAAGTAAGAAGAGATTTAACAATTTTTCCTAAAAGAGAGAAAAAAAGTTTCATTTGCTTTAAGTGATCTGATTTTTAGTCGTATTACTAAAGTGATCTTGTTAAAATTTTAGTTCTTATAGCAAAATATCTTTAGAAAACTATAAGAAAAGCAAAAGATTTTGGGTTTCCTCAAAAAAGAGAGAAAAGTTTTCATAGTTTCTTTAAGTGATCTTGTTTTTGGAAGTTTTACTAAAAGTGATCTTGCTAAAATTTTAGGTTTTGTAACAAAATATCTTTAGCAAACTATCAGAAAAGCAAAAGATTTTGGTTTTCCTCAAAAAGAGAGAAAAGATTTCGCAGTTTCGTTAAGTGATCTTGTTTTTGGAAGTTTTACTAAAAGTGATCTTGTTAAGATTTTGGTTTTCTTCACAAAATAGAGCAAAGTTTTCTCAGTTTCTTTAAGTGATCTTGTTTTTAGTAGTTTGAATAAAGTGATTTTGAATTTTAGATTTTGTAACAAAATATCTTTTGCAAACTATCACAGAAACAAGAGATTTTAGATTTTTTCACAAAAGAGAGCAAAGTTTTCTCCGCTTCCTTAAGTGATCTTGTTTTTGGTAGTTTTCCTTAAAGTGATCTTGCTAAAATTTTAAGTTTTATAGCAAAATATCTTTTGTTAAACAACAAAGAAAGTACAGTTTTTCAACAAAAGAGAATTATGGTTTTCTCTAAGTGATCTTGGCAAATTTTTTGGTTTTCTTCTAAGTGATCTTTTCTTTTAATGAAAAATAATTTTATTAAAATTTCTTTTGCAAAATATCATATTACACTTAACAAATATTTATAAAACTTTGAGGTTTTTTGTTTCAGCAAAAAAAAAAAAGAAAGAAATTGATATTGAGTAGAACAGGAAAAACGATCAGTGATGTATTTGTAAAGAAAAGAGAAAAGATTTTTAGAGGGTGTATAACCATGATAAATGGATTTTTTTTGCGAATAATAAATTTCTTTTTTGACAAGCATATTAATGGCACTTTAAAGATAACCTAAAGGGAGACAGATAAAAGATATTTTCAAAAAAAAATTATGATAAAGAAAAGGAAAACGAATAAAACAATTGTGCAATTTTATAAAACAATTGTTGGAAAATATATCTATGACGCCACTAACAATAGACCGCCTGTGTTGTTAAGAGATCTAGACAGGTTGTACAATTGGCAGAGAAAGCAGGTAGTAAAGTGATCATGATCATGTGTAAGCAATTGTTGCATCAAAATTGTTTTAAAAAGAGAAACATTTGAAAAAAACATGTGAGAAAATAGGAAAATTAAAAGGGAAAAATGTTTAATTAAAGAAAAAGTCAATTTTTTGTTTAAGGACAATTGGCTTATAAGGGATTAAAAGGTAGCCTATGTTTGGAAAAAGACAAATGTTAACACCTTGCTGTAAGAAGAACAGAAGAATCAAAAGATTAAAGTGTTAAAAAGAGACCTTAATTAAAAAAAATTAAAGAAAATTTATAATTAAATGAGAAAATTTCTTGTTTTTTTGAAAGCAAATTTGTCATTTAAGCTGTTTTATAGCTTTATTGAAGAGAGAGAGGAGAGTGAGAGTAAGAGAGTGATCTTAAAGCTTTTATGTTTATGAAAAAGCTTTTTGTGGTTTGTTGTTTTTAGGCTTTAAAGAGTAACTGAGTAGTCGAGAGTTTGTATGCGAGAGAAAGCTTTTATGCTGAGAGTGAAAGCTTTATTTTTATGTTTAGTTTATCACTAAAGCTTTAGGTTTAAGTGCAAAACTTGGTAATTTTTATGAGATTTATGCTAAAGGGCGTTTGTTTTTGTTTTTTTTTTTGATAATTTGTGGAAAAAATTTTTTCTAAAATACGTGTCAAATTTTTAAGTAAAAACCGGTTAAGGCTTTTCTGTATATGATGGCGAAATTGTTGTTAAAAAAAATATTAAAAGTTTTTCAATGTAAATAGAGAAAAAAAAAATACCAAAACAAATTTCAAGGTTTTTTAAGGGACGGCAAACAACAAAATGAAGGTTAAACAAATAAAAATTAAGGTAAAAAGTTAGAAATAATAAAATAATAAAGTTTTTTAAAATTTTTTTAAATTTTTAAAATTTTTTTCAAAATTTTTGGAAATTTCTGTTAAAACTTACCTTGAAAATTTTAGTTTAAACTGCCAATTTGGCGTGTTTGGTTGTTGTTTTAATATTTATAAATTTTGTTTTAAATTTTTTTTATTAAAAATTTAGTACACACTACCCAGCTTTAGTTGAAGGCCAAATATTTTTTAAAAATCCAAAAAATGTGTTTTTTTCTTAATTTTTTTACATAAATAGCTGAGTGTGGAATGTTTTATAAACACTTAGATTATATTATTTATAATTTTTTTAAAATTTTTCAAAATATTGCACTTTTTTTTACAAAAAAAAACACTTGTTTGTTGGTGGTAGTAAACTTTTTGTTGTAATAATCCCAAAAAGAAAAGAACGTAATCCAAATTGTTTCTCTTTTTGCCAGAGTTTTAATAATAATTTCCACTTGTTTTTAGTTTAATTAAGAAAAAATTTCTTTAAGTGTAGTTAGCTTGTTTTTTTATAGTAATAATATTTTCTTTCTTATTCTTTTATATTAATAATATTTTGTTTTTCTGTTTATTATTTTTATTTTGTGTGTGTTGTGAAAAAACTGCGACACATTTGATGTTGCAGATTCGAGAGCTCGAAGTTGAATAAATGCCAACTGCCAATGCATGCATAAAGTCATTCGTCTACGCAGCTCTATCACAAACTTCATACAACAATAATAATCATAAAAACGCAGCAAAAAAAAAATCTAATATTGTTTTTCATATAGGAAAAACATTAGATTTCCCCTAATAATAACACACAAATAGTAACAACAACAACAAACAGAACTCTCTTACATCTTTACAGAAATTAGGGGAAGTTCTTACACACCAAACAACAAAACGCATGCTCATTATTACTCTCTATAAATACTCTCTCTCCTGCTTTATAAAATATATCACACAAAACTGTGCTACGCTTATAAACTGTTATAAACTGCAGCCCAAAGCCTTTGCAAAAGGA